ACTCATCAAGTCTTTTTCTCCTTCCTTCCTACCACGCTTCAGACCACCGATTTTAGGTCTCTCTCTCTCTCTCTCTCATAATTTTCTTCGTTGAAGACCGAAGGACTTACCAAGTATTTTTCTCTCTTTGTATCTCCGGGGAAAAAGGCGAGCTTCTGTCGAGCTCGCCGTCCTCGTGTCCATGCCGGCGACTTCCTCACCTTCCTCCCCGTTCTTTCTAATCTCCTTCCTCGTCTTCTTCATCTTTGGCCTCTGTTCTTCGCTCGTACGATCCGAACTTGATTCATCGGCGATTCGCTTACCATCCGACGATGCAGTGCACGCAGATGATCTGTGCGCGGGGTCGAGCCCTCCTTCTTGTCCCGTCAATTGTTTCCGAACAGATCCGGTCTGCGGCGAAGACGGCGTTACCTACTGGTGTGGCTGCGCGGATGCTATGTGTGCCGGCACGCGGGTCGCTAAGTTAGGGTTTTGCGAGGTCGGAAATGGAGGCAGCGGGCCCGTGTCCGGTCAGGCGCTACTGCTAGTTCACATTGTCTGGCTTATCGTTCTAGGGTTTTCAGTGTTGTTCGGGCTTTTCTGATGGGGGATCCGACTGATGACCAGTATTTCGTATTCTTTATAATTGTTCTTCGTTAAAGCCTTCCCGGCTTGCGTTGGATTCTGCTACATGTGCGTTCTTGTATGTAAGAGTGATTTGTACGATCATTGTTTCTTCTCATGATTCTTTTTTGGAAATAAAACTAGTCCCATTCTTTTTTATTGTCTGCTTACATGTATCTTTATTCATGAATATAATTCTTTCTCGTAGGCCATTTTTCTTGAATGACAATGAACCCTCACTTAATCCATGCCGAAGTGATGAAATTAAAATTACTAAAACCTAAAAAAAATATTTCAGAGCACCACTCCACTATTAAAAGGGGCTGTTCCTAGCTATTAATGAGGGATCGGAATTAGGGCATTTTAATATTCCAGGACAAAATTTCCATATTTCGATAGTCTATTAACAACCGGGAGTTGATCGAGTTCAGATGCTGATTATGGAGATCACATTTGCGCCCAGCGCCCCACATGCACATCTCAACGTGCATTGGGAACATTTCCCGCATTTATGATGGGGCGACATTCCCAGTACACGGGTGGGAGGTGCTGTGGGGCGCCAATTTGATCTCATGATTATGAGGATTCAAATGCCATTGGGAAATAATAAAATGATGAAGAGCTAGGTTTTCTTTTCTTTTCTTTTCTTTTTTTTTTTAATTTTTTGGCTGCGTATGAAGAGCTCGGATTACTAAATTCTATTTCTATCCCTGACTCAACACAAGTAAAATATTTCTATATCTTCCGAGTCTTGAATCTTGAGTTTTAAACATAAAGTGATACTTAGTAGCCATCTAATGTAAGCTTAATTTATGTTTAAGTGTATATAATAGACTTCTTCTAAATACTCATCTTTTGATATTTTAGTCTTCTATTGCATTTCTTCTCTATCCTTCCAATTCAACGCAAGCAGAACTTGATAGCAGTGACCCATTGCTGAGCAACACCCATAAATTCATGAGAAAAAAATGAAACATTCAAGGGCTTCTTGTAGCCAACTCTCAATTTGTATTTTTTTTCCAGACAAGAATTTGCACAAATGGGTGTGAAGCATTGCTGATGATAAGGTTGTGATAGAAGTTGATAACTAGGTGGACAAGGTGTAGCATCAAATCCCTTGAATTTTTAATCACAAGCTTTTATGTGAGACATCTTTGTTTTCTGAACATTAATCTCATTCAATACAAGATCTACATTAAGCACCTTGGGATAACAAAATTTGCTTCATTCACAAGCACAAGAGAAGTAGCAATGTAACTGATAGTCTTTTAAACAAGTGTTGTTGTGTAGGAGAAGTAGCTTTTGCAAAAGAGTACTTTATATGAGAACAGCCTTATTATTATTATTATTTTTTTTCTATTTGCAAATGGATACTTTGTATGAGGAGAAATGTGCTTGATTGGGAGATGCAAGAACTTTTGTCTTTTATGGAATTAATGAACAAGGCTCACCTGTGTTTGGATTCAGAAGATCAGGTAGTATGGGCTGCAAAAAAAAAGAAAAAAAATCAGGACTCTTCTCAGTTTGGAGTCAGCTGGAAACAAAGTAGCTGGAGGTAGATATGGAAACCCAAAGATCCCTAAAGGTGATTTTCTTCTTGTGGACAGCCATTCTAGACAGGATTCTTGCTACGAATCACTTGATATCTGAAGGAATAGAGGTTCCTACTCAATGCTGCTTATGTAATTTCCAAGAAGAATTAGTCCATCACCTGCTAATTCATTGTAAAGTTTCCTATAGCATTTGGTTGCATTTTATTCAACTATTTGGAATTCTGTGGGTGTTTCCAAGGGATCCGAGCTCCCTCATATCTGCCTGGTCTACTGGTGGTATAAGCAAAAAAGGAGTTATGCTATGGAAACTGATTCCTTTTGTAACATGTTGGAGGATCTGGCAAGAAAGCAATAGCAGAATGTTTAAGGGAGTAGCCAAGGAAAAGAAGGGGTTAATTGGATAATTGGAAAGGCTGTTAGCTTCTTGGTCTAAGGCATGCAAGGAGTTTTCAAGTTGGCCTCAGATTATTGTGGATAATCTAGTGTGACCTCAATTTTTAATTTATGGTTTTCAATTATCAAAAAAAAAATTATTGTGGTTTGTGAATAATGATTTTGTAATTTCTGCTTCATACTTGTAAAGATTATCTTATAGAGGGCCCTTTTGTTGACCTGTTTTTGTATAGCATTTTTGGGCAGAGCTCTCCCTTGCCCTATATACAGTAATACAATACCATATTTCAAGTAAATAAATAAAATTGGGTCCTTAAACATTAGCTAAGAATATTTTGGTTTCAGGTACCATTTTCAGTTTTCTCTCATTATTGTTAGGGTAAAAGACTTAAACCTCTCTTGACATTTCACCTAAATACTAAAACCTCCCCTTACCTTTGTGATAGGACTTAAACCTCTGTCATTGGCTGATGTAGCAAGACAAAAACTTCCCCTTGCTCAAACTATTTTTAACTGCCATTAGCACATAATCATGTGTGCCATTAAATTTTTATCAATAACTCGACAATGCTCCTGTTTAACTCAATAGTGCTTGAGTGTTTCCCATTACATGTTACTTTCTTCAACAGAAACAAAGACTGACTCATATATCCCAAACTTCAAAATTTTCTCAACAGAGCCCTTTCTGACATGCTGCACCCTTGATCTGTCTAACTTATTCCAAATCATTATTGGTTGGGAGTGCAATCCTTGTGAAAACTGTGAAGAGTCAAAGGCCATGGTACCCCTACCAGTCCTGAAAAAACAAATTAATTCCTCTTTCATCAGAACAAGACTAGCTCTTATTCATTATATTTTCTCTACTTTTTTCATGACAATGAGCAAAACTATTTCGTTAGTCAGGATTAAAACATGGCCATCCATTTGTGATGATATCATGATAAAATGCACAGCCAATTTGTTTCTTTTTTTAATTGTTCCTTACCATGAACTCAAAGAACCCACTTCATCTTTCAGGATGAAAATCATAATAGCAGGAAAACCAAATTAATTCTTCCCAATACAAGCCAACCCACTTAAATTTTCAATAATCTGAAGTCTGAACATACCCAATTTATCATAATATTGAATTTCATTAACTGCTTTTTATCAGTATCAGAAGAGAAAAAGGGGAGCTGTTGAGATCTCACCTTCTCAGGGAAGGGAATCTTCCTTGCTTCTCATCAGGGTTGTTGTCTCCCAACCCAACCTTTCCATGTGGCTGGCCTTTCGTAATATATTCAAGGTTCAGAAGAAAAGGAAGTAGGCGTTGATGATCTTCCGGGCTACTTCTTGAGGCAAAGAAGGTATGACAGTATTTTTGTGTTTCCTGTATCCCAAACTGTAGCCATCTAGATAAGATAGAGTGATGCATGAAGTAGGATTGGTGTGCACAAATCGGTAGCCATTTGTATAAATTTGGCTTTAGTTCTTCATAGCTGATTAAAACTGAAAATAGTTTGCGATTTGACATTACCATTTGTAATGCCAGTTCATATGGTGCTTTTAGTGGATTAATTTGGTTTCAGATACATAATTTGAATAAATTTTATGTAAATGCTGGTTTTGGTTAGTCATATCTATTGCAATTTCTTTAACTAGTGAAAAAATAAATACTTGAAAGATGAAGATAGCAGTATGAATAGGTTACAAAGAAGACAGCAATATATGCTTATAATTAGGCATGCCAAAAACCTGGACATCTATCTGCACCGTCATTGGGTGGATTTGTTACGATCAATCATTGCAACAACCATATTGGTATTGTTCTATTTCATGGGCATGAATAGTGCGCTGGACAATGAATTATTTGAAACTGGGTAACAAGAAAAGCTGATATGCAATGAAAGGAGCACATTCAGTTCTATGTATCTTTCTATTAAAGTCAAACATATAGAACAGCATGAGGGCATTTTTGATATATCTTTCATTCTGTCATGGTTAACAGTATAATCTTCTAGTATTCATACAATGATACAATATCTTCAGATTTAGAGTTGGTGTTGTTATGTTCGTGTTTCGGATTGATACAAAATTTCACGGTTTTCTTGAAAATTTGAAAAAAAAAATCAAGGATAAAAGTGTCTTTTTATTGATTCTGTATTGCATATCACACTGATGGTAGGTTTAATGTGGCGTTCAGTATCGTGGAATGATCATGAGATATTGCGTTTCAAAACACACGACGACAGTTTAGGATGTTCAGTTAGGTTTTTCTCGTGATCAAAACACGTTACCCCGTTGTATGCTATGGTGACTGATCCCATGCTTTGCATATGATGTTTACCCTAACGTAAATCCATTTTTTTACCATTGCAACCTCTCTTACAGAGCACCGCCGCTGCCCCTTGCTTCTCTGCTCACCGCTGCAACTCCAACCACAGCTTCTTGCTTCACCACTCGCCACTGCAACTCCGACCACTACTGCATCGAACTGTCGGCGGTAAGTGCTCGATCTCTGTCTACTCTTACTTACATCTGTATTATATTTGTTTTAAGCTAATGAATAAGTGCTTCTTCTCTGATTCTTTTACTTTGTGACTGGTTACATGTTTACTATATCTACATGTTTATGTATTGTGAGAAACAAAATTTCTCTTTGTCTATAGAACTATAAAAGCAATTAACAGATATTCTCTGCGTTGGTCCTTCTTGATCTAAGCTATAAAAGCAATTAACAGATAGTCCCCCTGGTCTTTTTGGTCCTTCTTGATCTAAGCTTAATGTTGGGCTTTTGCAATTTACTTTCTGCCCCAACATCCAAAACCCACAAAAGGCTGTCACACAATGATTACGGAAAGAGGCAACTTTACTTTGTCAATCATTTTACCTAGAAATCAAAACCCATTTCACACTTACTTTCTAGGAGAAAGGGGCAACCTTCTATGATAAATGGGACCTATTTATTTTGTAAAGAGATTGGGCTGAATGGGTCTTAGTATCTTTTCTTGTAATACTTTTTCTTTTTCTTGTTAGCTAATGGGCCTCTCTTAATGGGCCTGTTATTTCTTTTTGTTTGATCTCTTTATGTTACTGCCTAGCTGGCCGCCCACTTAAGGGCATACTTGTAATTATTTTAACATTAATTCTTAATAAAAAGGATTAGAGAAGAAAGGGAAGGATATTCAAACCTTTCTTCTTCTTCCTCCTCTTTTCTCCATCTTCTCTTGTATT